AAAACAAGTTAGAAAAACATATCTCACAAATCAGTCTAGAAAACTCCGTTTACCCGGACGTTCTTGGTTGAACCCACATCGTCTGGTTTAACGAGGGTATCGCGTCGAGTTTTGCAAATGGGTCTCCTTGTTAACATTACAGGTTTGACAAGTTTACATGAAGAAAATACATGTTTAACATGTCTCAAGTGTTCGCTTGTGCACTGTGACGAAAAATACAAGATTGTAAACTGGTTTCCGTCTCTCTCTGCGCTTTGTCAATTCGTTATATGAAGAGACGGAACCCATCTTGATGTCATTGTTGTGTCCGATTCTTCATGTGATGACGTCATTAACACTTATTACATCACCCTACATGTTATAACGTCAAGGGGCTAAGTGTGCTAATAAACAGAGGAGAGTTAAATTGCAACATATTTGGCTCTCCTTTAATTTGAAAAGAAGTTTGTTTGTTTATTTAGTTTGTTTATTGTTTAACGTTGCGCTCAGCAATCATGTTACTGTTACCATATGGCCCCAGCCAAGAAACATTTGAGTGAAAGATCAATGGAGCATTAAATATAGGCACAAGTATATCAAAATACAAAATACATCAAAATAGTTTACTAGCCGCTAGTTTACTAGTGTTTATTGTTTATTGTGACACTCATCATTTGATACGGGTATTCTGAGTGTCCAGGTTGGTTGGTTGGTTGTTTAACGCCGCACTCGGCAATATTCCAGCTGCATGACAGCGGTCTGTAAATAATCGAGTCTGGACCAGACAATCCTGTGATTATTATCATGAGCATCGATCCACGCAATTGGCTGGGACGAGTCCAAATTTACTACCCGGGTACCCAGCCCCCTATTACCCGACCCTACCCGGGTACCAAGTGTAGGTCTCAGGGGACGTCTCAAAATGTCCGATTGGGAAAATTTTTTTCAAAGCCTGGGCAAAACGTATTTAGATATATGTATTAAACAATCTGGTCATTCCAGTGACTAACCATGGGTCCGGGTAGTCCCGTGGGTACCCGGGTCCTACTCAGTACCCACCCGACCCGGGTACCCGAGTTACCCGTCCCAGCCGTAGATGACATGCATCAACCAAGTCAGCGAGCCTGACCACTCTTTAGGCAAGCGTGGATGCTGAAGACTTATTCTACTCGGTATCTTCACGGGGGGTCAAATAATATTCATGAAATAATTCAGTTCCAACAAAGGTCATCACTGAAACATGCTTAATGTTTGAGAAGAGTTAACTGGTTTTTTTTCTGTTGTGGGACTAAAACGGACATTGGTAGGCTAACAATAATAACTTTAAAGACGCTGGCATATTCATAACCAAGTAAGCCCGTTTGGGATGCGGGTAGCATCTGATTTATCAACTAAACCTCGACTAATGTAAACAAAGACGAGTTACGATGCATTTCTTTGTTTATGATAACCCACATCAACATCCAGAATAGTATTATACCAATCAAGCTTGGTCAAGAGTATGTTAGTGAATACAAACTATGCTCGTACTTATCCGGACTAATGTCGGCTTTATCGTGCTAGCCGACTGAGATACCACGCCGAAATTAAGCATGGATACCTCACTCAGACACAGTATGCTGACTCCAAGCCGACCTTGTTTTTGCCTCTTAATGCCGAGCAGCAAGCAAGGTAACAACAAATACCATATTTTAACGTCTTTTGGTATGGCGCGGCCTGGGATCCAACTCCGGACCTTCCGCTCTCCGGCCAGACGTTCTACCTACTAGACCACGGAGGCGGTCGGTTAGAGAGAATATCACTTGAACTGTATGACCAGAACAGTTCTTGAGAGTAAGTGAGCCAGTACAGTTCTAGAGTTGGTTGGTTTGTTGTTTAACGCCGCACTCACCAATATTCCATCTATATGACGGCGGTCTGTAAATAATCGAGTCTGGACCAGACAATCCAGGATTGACATCATGAGCATCGATCCACGCAGTTGGGATCGATGACACAGTTCTAGAGAGTAAGTGAGCATTGTTTAACGCCGACTTTAGAAATATTCCAGAAAATATCAAGGCAGGGGACACTAGACCCAAATGGGCACCACATATTTTGTCCATATGGGGAATCGAACCCTGGCCTCCGGCGTGACGAGCGATCATTTTAACCACTGGCTACCCCAAGAGCAAGACGCAACACACAATCACTCCCTCACACTAGATACACTCTGCAATTTTCTCTGATGATTTTGTTCCACATAAACAACATGGCGTGTGGGTAGCTCAGTGGTTAAGGCGTTCGCTCGTCATGCCGAAGGCCAGGATTCAATTCCTATGTACGTACAGCGATTTTGATATTGCTTACATATCTTTAAAATGTAGAACCCTCGACTCACTAGATTATCACCATTGCTCACCGATAATGATAAACTTGAAACAGAGCCGAAACTTTTTATTATTTGAATTCTCGATAACCATAGAAACCGAGCAAGTGTCAGCTGTCTGCCACACATCGCCAGTTCTGAAGGGACCTCCTCTTGAACATCAAAGGCAAGCTGTAACCATCATATTGACACTCGGTCCACCACCCTTGTCTGTGTTAACAACACGCTAACGAGCGTACATTGCACGCCTAGTCCATTCAACGTGCATTACACGTGTCAATTAGCAGGTGCGTGAAATATATCACTGCTGTGGATACGTTTCTAATGACCAAGCTGTGAGATGTGACGCTGACGGGTCGTACTGGTCAGCACGAAGTTGGTTGAGTGTCCACACTGACAGAGTAGAGATACCTGAATGTTGGATTCTTTAATGAGGTGAGACGGTTTCATATCTACACCATCCACATCTACACTAGTACTTCAAAACAGCTCGGTTTGAATTTACTTACTATAAACCGACATCTTTGAAGTTTTACATTCGTCTAAACCGCGTTGGTCCAGGACGTTTTCTGTATACTGAGTAAATCTAACTGCGCAGACTGGCATTTTTATATTGCTCCCGTGTATGTTGGTTCTAAGCATGTATATATATTTTATATGCATATTAAATTCATAACAATGTTGTCAGTGAAATATTGATAGAACGAATTTGAGAAAAAGAAAGCGAATGGTGCAAGGCGTGGATTACCTCCCTTGTCCGGAATGCTTGGTCGGATATTGATAGTGTGCAGGAAATGCGAGGAAAAATATGCTTATGATAACATACATATACTTCCATCTATGAAAACGCAGCCGTCTCAGAAAATATTTATCTACCATCGGAGAATTTCCAATCACATATTTTGAAGATATACAATTAAATAATGAACAGTATTTTGAATTTACATCAGTGTCGCATACAGTGAGTGTCATTGCCGGTCGTGGTATATTTTCGCAAATATATTCGTTTTCTTCTGCTGAGCGTATTTGAAGTATGTTGACTGCCGTCACGCGTGTCTCGAAATGCATGTAGCTATATATGTGCTGATTTCAGCATAACATACGTCTCTATATATGCCTGAACAAGCCCCCTGCAAGTCTAGAAGGCGGAGACGACTGGCTACACGCGATATTACCGCAAGTAAACATGTCCTGATTTACAGTCAGGGGTATTAGAGAACGTTAAGGAAATAGAAACACTGACTTATATACCACATCCTAAATCTCCGTGTGTTAACACCGTACGAAGCTCAAACGATATACTTTAAAGTGACACGCTTTAGTTTGCAATTAAAGAACTCAAACCACATTTTTCTCCAACCTGAATCTAATATAAAGTATGGGAAATGATTTAATCCAGAATATACCAAAGTGAACGTATTTTTCAGTAAAACGTTTGTCCTCTGAAAATTCCAATTGTTGGCCAAAAGACAATTTATAATAAACATATCGATCAACATAATTCGGATATTGATAGTATTTTGACTATACATGAACAACGCTAGTATTGTCCTCGCTTTTCTGGAATACGCTTATTATTTTCAATCAAAATTGGAAATTGTGAACCAATAACGAAACAGTTAAAATGCCTCTATTTATTTTTAATTTGAACGCCACAGTTAAGTTTCAAATACAAGGTTGAATGCAAGCTGTTCCAGGAATCCGCGCGACCTTCTAAATAAAATAATTCAGCCCATCACAAAGTCCTCCAATTGCGATAACGATATTTTTCTTCATTCGGGATAATGAAATAAACAATACATGAGCTCTTTTTCTCATAGAATAACACAGATATAGCCGACTGGAGCGAATATCTACTGATCAATGCTTCTCGTTTATAACGCGACCCTATTTTCCTCGAGCGCTGCACGTGGTTCGCACGGAATAACAAATCAAGAAAAATCGTCTGCTTTCATTTCCCCAATAACCTCTTCACATCAATATAAATGCGCGTAAATTCTATCCACGCTACCATGATTACCTCCCTTGTTAGTTCCATTTCTAACGTGCCTACCGACCTTTCCTCTTGCTTTGCACAGTTGAGCTAGATTCGCTCGCTGTTATCGACGTTACGAGGGGAGACGTTTTATAACGGGAACAGCCTCGATATCTTTCACTCGTGTACTTGCTTATTTCACCAACTTAGAGGATTTTTTTTCTGAATTTTCTTTCTGTTTTAGATATATAAATTTTTAGTGTATGTAATGCGTTGAAGAAACGCCCAGTATCGGCTGCAGTATCTCCCTCACGACCGGCGTCAAGAAAAAATGAATAACAACAATTGCGTGCCCAATAATATGAGACTTGGCCTCCGGTTGACGTCAGTGCGAAAGCCCTTTGGCAACTCCGGCTGGTATAGTCACCTCCCCTGGAACTCAGAAATAAATACGCGCCTCGCCAAGAATAGTCATATTATGCTTTTCTTTACTATACATTGCTTTTTTAGGTAGAATAAAACAGAAAAACTCTGCAAAAAATGAGTATAACCTTTTTGCAAATATTTTCTTTGGTTTTATCTGGTATTACTCATCCGAGGGAGGTGAAAAGATCAGCTAATTGAAACGGCAGAATTGAAAAGAATGCCTCGGACGCGTCACAACTCGAAATTTGTGGTCATCCGCTCAGTAGAGGGAGAGTAGAAAAGAATTCTAAGGTACTTTTCAGCGGATGCTGCGTGCCAAAACCGCGCGATATAGTCTACTTTATTACAGATGGTTGACAGGGCCAATATGAGTCGAGTAAAAGGAAAGGAGAAATAGCGCGTTATGTTTTGTCCGGAAACACGCCATTGCGCATGAATCTATTGGCAAAATCTCTCCTATTCCCGCTTATTGAAGTGTACCATATAATAGCCGAGTGTATGATAAGACCATGCTGCTATCCGAGACTGTTTTCCCCTACTGTTTCCAAACCTCATCTTCACACACGTGTGTAACATAAACTTGAGGTAGGGACAGGAGGGGACCAACATCATAAGCGTTCATCTGCAACAAGATTGGAGTCTGTTCCCGTGAATTTCGACTCAGGGTGTGTGCTCTTGGCATTATGCTTGATCAAGTTTGCAGCGTGAACAAAAAAGGCAGGGATATAGGACTATCCGAATCACCGGGGTTGGTACCAACGAATCGGTGAGTACCTACTATGGATAATATTTCTCCCGATGATGGCGGAGACAGAATGATCGTGAATAATAAGCTGCGTTCTCCCAACCAGATGAGTGAACCAAACACAATGGACTCTTTTCAAGATGGAGGCCAGCAAAACATGAACAACTCCGAACAGAGTGAATATCCTCCGATGGAGGGGGCTCACATGAACACCGATATGAATAATTTCCCACCAACATCAGGAGAACATGGAATGGGCCCTGAGAATTATAGCAGAATGAATGATAATATGCACCATGGTCAGATGCAAAACTACCCTTATAACAGGGGGGGCTATGGCCTGGGTTCGGAACAACATGGCGGTATGCCGGCATTGGCAGGAAGTACTGAATTTGGGACTCAGGGTTCACAATTTCATGGACAGTATTCACAATCACAGGTGAGACCAGGATATCCAGGAATGGATAAACCAGGTATGAGTCCATCCAGGCCGGGTATGGCACCCCCAGGAATGGCAATGATGTCACCCCCTGGATACAACCCTAGTGCTCAAAGAATGATGTCTGGACAAAGTATATCTCAGCAAGGTGGCCCAACACCTACACTAAATCAGTTGCTACAGACTCCTAACTCTACCCAAAGATACCCTAATAATTACAGTGAATATCCAGGGGGGTCGGGCAAGACAAATGACTTGGGATCTGGGAACATGCCATACAATATGCAAGGTCCTTGGAATGCAAGAGCTTCATATCCCCCTGGGCCTATGGGAGGGACATCTCCTTACAGAAATCAAGTGAGTGTCTGGATATTGTTGTGAAATAAATTATACTTTATAGTTGTGAAATTTCTTTTAAGAAATTTTACATTTGTTTTGTTTTGATTGATTGTTTTGATAAGCCCAAGCCTTGCCTTGTGGGTGTGATGCTATTGATCTAGGACATGATTCATTGGAAAAGTGATGGAAAAAGATTGCTGTGCATTAGACCAGCCAGAACGGTGCTGGAAAGCAAAACTTAGAGACCAGAAACCAAATACTACTGCTGTCAGTCTTTCATAAGTCATGCATGCATCCAGCATGGTGACTGACTGATATTTAAATTTGGAGGCAAAATTAGCGCTTCACAAGACAGCTGGATGAATGTGGCATTGCCCTGAGATGATTGGTTGATGGCCTTTGTCAAACAATCAATTAATCATGCCTCGCATAATGATAGCACTTTACTTCCAGCAGCCTATCATAGTATTTGCCATGCTTTCATTGATTACTTTTTTCACAGCCAAAGCTTCCCCTGTTGCCATGGAGAACATAAACTGAAATTGTGTCAGCTGAAAAGCAGATGTGTGTGTTGCGTATACACACCAGTTCAGGGTCATGTCACGGTGCCAGATCACTCCATGCAGCCTAAGGCTTTATTTTCCACTGTTGATATCCCACCTTGGCCTTCACATTCTTTATTTGTAAACACAAAATTGTTTTAAAAATAATTTTTACATTTTTAGGTATCTTTTCCACAAATGATGAAATTGTTTTTTAACAAGTTTGTTTATCACTTTCCTGTATATGGTGCATGGGGAAACCTTTTAATGCATACTGACTTTTCTTTTATGTATTGCAATCAGGTTGCCCTGATTGTTCTAATGATGCTGAAATGTGGACATGGTGTTACAGAGATGGGGGATGGGGAAGAGTAGTAATATACAATGAAGCTAAATGCTGCTTAGTATGCACATGGGGTATAAACCTTTCACTTTTTATGTTCTACTTACAGTGCATCATCATTTCACACACACACACACACACACACACACACACACACACACACACAATTCTTCAGCTGCATCAATATTAATTATTTGGTTAATAATCTGTTTATCTTCAGGCATATATATCTAAGGATTGCATTCAAATGCGAAGATGTCTTCGCATTTGTATCCATCAGAACTTAAACAACAGTAAAATATTCACTGTTCCACTAATATATGTGTAGTTAATTCCAAGAACGGTTCCAGAATTGTGGGAAGATGCATGCAATGTATGAGATTGTTGATGCTGGATGGAGTGATACTTCTCTGATCCCTTAGCTACCATTAAAAGGAAGTCCAGGAAATGCTGTTTATTAGTGATATGTTACGAAAATTTATCACAAGGACTTGGACAGACCTTGATTTCTTCAAAAGTATTAACATGTTAAGTCTCAGTACTGTTTGGTGGATGCCTGCATGACTCTTCATACTGGTGGAAATTTACTATCTAATGGCATGATACATAATGGTGGGATTTTAAATCATGTCGAAATAATCTGATGGATGGAAATTTGGTAACTGCTGAAATGGTCAGAAATTTTGAGTCTGGTGGTATACAAGTGGAAATTTGGAAATCATAGAAATAACCAAGATCTATAACACAGACAAAGCAATTATTTCAAACTCATTTCTTTCCCTGAATTGTCCTAAACTCTTCACATGACCCACCTTAATGCATCTTCCGACCAGAAGAGTATATGAAGTTAATGAAGGATTGGATTGCACATTGTCAGTCTTTATCATTGATAATCTGTTAAATGACATTCCTCTTTTTGAATTCCCTAAGTAGTCATTTATTGAGATCAAATTGACTGAACCTTCCTCCAACTGTGGTTGAGTTATTGTTCAAGGTTGTTTTACCGAATATGAGTAGGTACACACAGCCACTAGTAAGCATATGCATAGATCTGAGATGGGTGGATTATGTTCCAGGAACCACAAGATTGAAATGCTTAATTAAACAGGTAGGTCACATGGTTTTACCTTGACCATGTTGACCTACAAAACTCTTGGACACCAATAACTTGCCTCTTGCCTGTTTGTTGTTTAACGCTGCACTCAGCAATATTCCAGCTATATGACGGCAGTCTGTGAATAATCCAGTCTGGACCAGACAATCAAGTGATTGATATCATGAGCATTGATCCACGCAATTGGTATACGATGACATGCATCAACCAAGTCAGAGAGCCTGACCAACCAATCCTGTTAGTCGCCACTTATGACAAGCTTAGTCACTTTTTTCGGCAAGCATGGGTTGCTGAAGATCTGTTCCACCCCGGATCTTCATGGGTCCTTATACTATCGGAAATATTAGGGTCCTGTAAAGTAATGAAATGGTACTGTGTGCAGTACTTAAATATTTAACAATTTTTTTAATAACAGGAACTTTTACATTTCTCGTCAAGAATTTGGTACAATGAATGTTACTGTGTGTCTCTTGGGACGCAATATAATTTTTTTCTGTGTGCATTCCATACCTTTATGCAAGAATGTCCAGGACGCACGTTTCTGCATTCAGGTATGCCTAGTGGAATTTGGATTTTTGATATTTTTCAAAACTGAGACTTTGGTCTTCAATTCAGAGATATTTTAACATTGCATTCATTGCAATAATGTAAAACTAATGTTCATAGCCTGGTCATCATTAGTTGTGCTCTTATCAATAAATACAACCAAGCCATCACATTAGGTTTAACTAAATAAACCAGATTTGGAAATCTTTTATTTCCAATTTGTGAAACTGTAGTGACAATTGCTGCAGACTTGGGGACCATATATTGGTCCCTGGAAGCCGAGATAAAAACCTGAACAGCTGAGTTAAGCTGTTCATAATTTTTAAAATCCAATCTTTATGCAGTGGTTGCTTCTTCTGAAGAGACCCTGGGAAACAGTTTGAAGGCTAGATGGTTCAGATGTGAGTGGGTGGGTGTTTACATCGCAGTGGACAGTTTTACAGCAATATCATGTTGATGAAGTCTTTAACAACTAAGCCTGTGGTTGACCGGAGCAGTGCGACTTAGCAGCGGGTATAAATCATACTTTCACAAATTATGACCCCCCACCCCAGGACAGTTAGGGGTCATTTGTGAGTGTAGGACCATGTTCTTTCAGTGCAGTAGGCTGCAACTTCAGCTAGTAGAATTCTGTTTGTTGAAGTAAGTTCAAGTAATAATGCACCATATTATTGTTAAATAACTCAAATTAACTGAAAATTATGCTTAGACTAGTAAGAGTGTGTGTGTGTGTGTGTGTGTGTGTGTGTGTGTGTGTGTGTGTGTGTGTGTGTGTGTGTGTGTGTGTGTGTGTGTGTGTGTGTGTGTGTGTGTGTGTGTGTGTGTGTGTGTGTGTGTGTGTGTGTGTGTGTGTGTGTGTGTGTGTAATACTGTATATGACCGATAGATAAGCCGATCTCATAGTTAAGCCGAGGTGTTAACTTTTTCCTTGAAATCTGTAACCAAATGTTATGTGCGGTACATCAGACTGACCGCCAACGTAAAACTACATCTTCTTGTCATGATCCGTCATCAGAAATCGAATATCAAATAAGTCCGTATTGAATTTCGCAAGTTAATTCTGTCGTTACACTATCTGTTAATAAGTGTTGATTGTATATCTGGACTTGTTTTGTAATATTAATTGTATTCAAACTTTCATTCAATTATGTTTACATTAATATCAGCAAAATCGTATGTCCCTTCGATATCGTATGTCCCTTTGATACTTTCAACTTCAGTTTACCCCATTACATAAGATCTGCTTTACCACATCTGCGACAGCACCAACTCAAACTATTCCCAGCAACCACGATCATATTACTTATATTGACACCTTGAAACGAACCTTGGTTGACAGATAATGGATACATATATCATAACTGCCATACCATGACTTGTTAAAAGTCATATTTGTTGTAGTGTGACTATTATGTGTGACATATTGTTTTTGTGATGGAAATAGCGTGATTGCATGAAAACTCAACAGTTACTTCTAAAATTGTGCCATGTGTGAAAGGTATGCGACAAAACACTAAAGAGCTACTGCATAACCTTCGTTATTGTAAAGTCTGCCATTAATCTTACAGAATATCAGAGAATGTTATCGTAGTAACATAGGTTTTTTATTGCATCAAAATTCTTTTCCGTTATATTATTGGGGTTGTTTTTACTTAATCACTGGTAGATTGGGAGAAATTGTGTGTACAGCTGATTGCTATTTCTGGTTTAGTTTACAAGACAATACACACAATCTTTATCCCTGCATATTAAACAATGCCTAGCATAACAAAAATTGCAATGGAAGTGGTAAATCAACATGTCTTGTGATTTTTAATCGCAAATTTCACATTTTCATTTGGCAAAGTTGCTATATCTCTCATTTTTCGTTCACCTTCATCAACCTTTTCTGGTCCTCAAAATTTGGCTTATCTTCGGTCATATACAGTACTTGACATTACCAGATCGACGAAAGTTTTGATTTAAGTTTAATTTTTGATCACTGCATCATTTTAAGAGTATTGTATCCCTCACGCATGCATTGATAGCTTTGTAGGCTTTCTGATCATCATCATCATGTCATATGGTCCATTACTTTTATAGTATCAATAATTGTAAAAATATACTGGAAAAGAGGTGTTCCTGGTAACCCAAGCTACAAATCATGTCACTTGTGACACTTACATTTGTATGACTAATTAGGATGCTCGTGATATCAATCACTGGGTTGTCTAGTCCAGACTCGATTATTTACAGGCCGCCGTCATATAGCTGGAATATTGCTGAATTGCGGCGTAAAACAACCAACCAACCAACTAGTTAAGAAAAAAACCTCCAACCTTCAGTCACCCAGTTGAGAATATAATTCGGTCAGATGAGGTTGACACCAATGGTAGAAACAACATTTTTAGTCCACTGGTCCTTGATCATAACATATAGTAAAACCCTTAAAAATGGCAAATTTCTACTAGTCCTTGTGCTAACTTAACTATTTGGCAGTTTGGCCAGGACTACAGAACAAGTGCCTATTTCTAATGTTGTTGACACCCTGATAGTGTGGGGTGTTGCTCATGGTATCAGTGTTTGCTTTTTCCGGCCTGTATTTGATTATTTACATGCTGATGTGACGTAACTAGATTGTTGCTGAATGTGGTAAAAAGAAACAAAGCAAAGAAGAATATTTGTGAAAAACTAGAAAATAATAGTTATATTTAACATTCATTTTCACCTCCCACAGATCATATGTTTGGTAATTTACTGTAGGTAGCGTGAACATGTAATTTTAAGCAATAACTAACAATAAAATTAATCCTTAAAGGCCAGTGTATAAAGGCCTTTGTTCCTTACTTAGTGAGTATTTTGTGAAAATCAGTAATCACAGCTTCTCTCTCTCTCTCCCCCCCCCCCCCCCCCCCCCCCTTTTATCGTTAGGAAATTAAGCATGAAAAAAACTTTTTCTACAATGCTCCTTTGGACAAACTGGAATTGAAATGGCAATTTTTAGAGCAAGTGCTTTTTGTGTTTTTATTTAATTAGGGATGATTGACTCCTAGACTGTGGACTTTTTTCTTGGAATTATTTTAAATTTAGCATTAGCTGGTAGGTTGTTACCACTGTAGGTATTCAGGGTTAGAATTAGTCCGTGCAGCAACATATGCTGGTTGTAAGTGGTGGCTTAATCATGTTAATGGATCAGGTGGTCAAGCTTTGGTGTCTTGGTTGCATGCCATTTTTACCCCAATGATGTGGAATGTTGCTCAATATCAATCACTTGATTGTCTGGTTTTGACTCTTGTTTACAGGTCACCATCATGTATCTAGCATTGCTGAGTGGCATTCATTAGCAAACAAGATTTTATTGACTTTAGGATTTATCTTTGTACAAGAATCTTGAAATATCCTATATGAGATAATTTGAGCATTGACTTGCTTGGAGATTCTAGTTGGTTATTTGTGCTTTCTTCACATTCTGGTCCTATCTTGATGGCAGCACACTTGCTGCTATGAAACATGGTATGGTGCCATGCTGGCAGATGAATTCCTCATATAAAGTACCTTAGTTTTCCAGCACCACACCAAATTTCCACAAATCTCCTTTTTTGGTATAACCTATGCTTGCCATAAGAGGCGACTATCGGGATCGGGTGGTAAGGCTCGCTGACTTGGTTGATGCATGTCATCGTATCACAGTTTTGTGGATCAATGTTCATGATGTCAATTACTGGATTCTCTGGTCGATTATTTACAGACCGCCGTCATATAGCTGGAATTTTACTGAGTGCAGTGTTAAACAACAAACAAACATGAAAATGTCCAAATGCCATTTATTAGCTAAGTCATTCAATTCAAATGACTTAAAAAAGGAATGTATACTGTTTCTTTACCGAATCTATAATAGCCATGGGCGAAGTGGTTAAAGTTTGGTTCATCATGTGAAAGATCCAGGTTTGATTCCTATCAATGGTACAGTGTGTCAAGCCCATATCTGGTTTATCCCTGCCATACTATTGCTGTATTATTGCTGAGAGTTGCGTGAAGCCACACTTGGGTACTCAATAATCAGTTGGATAGTACTAGTAGTCTGCAAGATGTTCACTTGTCAGAGCTGTCCCTTGTCTCTTGTTCTGTGGAAGCTGGTAAAGCGACTTTTCATCTTGGTTGTGACAAGTGCTGACTATATTACTAAGTGTGAAGACAAGTGAGTCATTGATAAGCAGTCTGAAACTTTAGCCAATAGTCTGAAAACAGAGACAAGTGAAATTAGGCTCAGTCTAGTAGGGTAAGCTATTAAAAGTCCATATAATAACACTGAAATCTACTGAAAATGCTGATCAGAGCCATGTTCAGCCGAGTTTAATTTAAGCACAGTCATTATTGTCACTTGCGTGGCATAATTTGTGACAAAAGGGTGAATATCATCTCAAAAGCATTCATAGGTCAATACGGAATTCCAGAAAGTCTTTAAGGCAAACGAAAAAACATCGAACTGAGTAAAAAGGGATACATTTTGTGATAATAATGATCCTACCAATATTCAGAGATGAATGAATTTAAAGCTTTCAGTTTGGCAGGTCTTGTTTCAATATTTTAACTGGTATTGTTCTGTTGGACCTGTATGACGAACACCATGACATTCTTGTGTCTTTTGGTTGTAAATGAAGGAAATCCCTCAGTTCTAGTCACAATGGTTAGTCATGAAAGAGAGCTAACCATTACCCCTAGATTTTATTTCACAGTGTTAAGCTTGTCACTTTGAGAACAGTTTGTCAAATTTATAAAGAAAAATTTTCATCTTGATTTGAAAACAATTGGCCCTGACTTTTAGAGCTAGGAAACTGTAACATAACAAGGTGGAAAGGTCTTCGTGGACAGATAATGATTTGATGCAAATAGTGATCAGGAAGTAACAACCAAAACTCATAGATTTCTTAAATTTTGATAAGCAGCAGTTAATGAAATAATCAGCTGTAGAAAGGTAGAGCTTGTAGGACCTTCCTATTGTTAATGTTGCATGTGTTAGTGAATGTGGTGTAACTTGCAGCTGTTAATAGTGGTAAACCCTCACCTGTGAGGGGAACTCGGGCACCTGGGGTCAGCAGTCTATCTATCTCCCATGTTTCAGCCATGTGGCAGTGTTTACTCATTATGTTGATTAGCCATGTGCTTTTTTGGCGCCTTCCCCTGTCAGTGACACTGTAAACACAAGGTGGAAATCTCCCCGTTGAGCCAGTTGTGGGGAGTGTGTAGAGCCAGGGATAATGCCTTCCCTCGTCAGCTGGGGACCCCTCTGTCTAGGAATGGGATTGCTTTACACGGACTCCTTACAAGTTGATCCTTGCCTTTTGTCATCGGGAGAACCAACTGCCTGGGGATGTGTCGTGGCCTTTTGATTGCCCAATCATAGCTTTATGAATGAAATAAGCTGCAGACACCTTTGACATTTCTTGCGTGGTAGTAATTCCTTTCACTCAATCACATTGAAGAGAATACAATTTCAGTTGAAGATTACTGACAGTCAAGTGTTATACATAGCTTCCATGTTTGTGATGTGATATATGTCTTTTGTTTCTCTTGTCATATTAAGTGATTTGTAACCTAATTGGTTTAAATCTGTGCCTCATTGACAATCAGATAATGTTGATATGTTTTTTTAGAAATAATTTTTAAAGAGCTTTTCTTTTAACATGTTAAGTAGTTTGGTTTTAAACATTAATGAAGATTGAAAAGTCAACATCAATCTGACATTTACTGGAGATGTAAATTTGTCAAATGCGGAATATATTGATTTTTGTTTCAAGTTATGCTCCATATTAGAACTGGGTGATAAACTGAGAGGTTAACTGAGGTCTGTGTTTACCTCGAGGCTAGCAGTGTCCTTTAGGGCTGCAACTGATGGACAATACAAATTTTATAGATCTGACCACTAATATGTGTCCTTAGAAATTCAATACCTTTTCTATTAATGCATTGAGCCTTCCGACTTAACAAGTTAATGTAATATCTTATATCATTTTATTTATTTTTTGGTGAAAGGAAAGGCTTATTTAAATCTTTAATGAGGATTAAGTGGTCTTGTCTAAACATTGATTTGTTAGTAATCATGGTAATGATTAATAGTGTTTTTTCCTGGGTACTTAAAGGGCATTAAAGTATATGTTTAGTATCACAGAGATGATACATGGTGTCATGGTTATCACTTCATAAGTCAAATCAATATGGGAATAATGTATTATTTTTATGAACCTTTATTCGTTTGCAAATGGCATCTTATTTGAATAATGGTCTGCATAATAATCATAAACTCATGGGACATTTGGTTAAACCATTTCACTGCAATCTTGGGAATTCTTCCTATCCTTAAAAGATACATGGGTATGTAATTGTGAAAGGATCTTTTTTAATACTTTGGGATTGTAGGATATTTGACTCTGCTCTGTGTTGTCACAATAGGCAACTTATGTGAGGAGCAGGTGCTTTCAACAGCAGCTGAGGAAAAATGATACTTTGCTGGTCACTGAGTAAGGGACCCGTGAAGATTCGGGGATAGAATAGGTTTTCAGCAACCCATGCTTGCCGTAAAAGGTGACTGTGCTTGTCGTAAGAGGCGACTAACAGGATTGGGTGGTGAGGCTCGCTGACTTGGTTGATGCATGTAATCTATCCCAATTGCGTGGATCGATGCTCATGATGTCATTCACTGGCTTGTCTGGTTCGATTATTTACAGACCGCCGTCATATAGCTGGAATATTGCTGAGTGCGGCTTAAAACAACAAACAAACACAGTGAGAGTAGACAAAACATTTGTGTGATCTGTTTCTGCAAAGGTGTTGTTTGTACTTCATGTATAATAGACACTACCACAAGTCCAAGACTAGTGATAATTCAGAAGAGCTACTCACTATGTGTTTTATCGCGAAGTCTAGTTCTGTATGACCAGTGTCTATCCCTGCTTGTGCTCTTGACCATTGACCTTATACATGTTGGTTTGCCTGGCCCAGGCCAAAGACTTGTGATAGGACGGTTGGCACAGCAGTCAGGGATAGACATGGCCACTCCTCTGAGACTATCAGTCTAGCTGGACTAGTTGTTTAATCCCCAAATCAAGCTATGTTACATACCACTATTCGGGAATGAACTGCAGAGTGGTCAGATATTGGCCCATGGTGTCCCCCACCTGTCACCGTCATAGCTATGAATTAGGAGCTTTGTTCTGGAAAGTATGAATATAATGCTGTTATCATCACTGACTAGTCTGCCTGACTGATCATACTTTTGTTGTTTGCTCGGAGAGCAGTATTTACTGTTTTGTACAATTAGGTCGTTTACTTAACTGATTGTTTTCATTATTTTCAGGATGAATAGCTTTAAGCAAGCACCTGTTCTATCTTTAAAGTTTCCCTTTCTTTGCTTCAGACTGGTTCAATACCAGGGGAGATGAACCAGCCGCGCCGTCCGACATCCATGTCCCCATCCAACTACCAGAATGCTCCTGGGCAGTATGTGGGCGGGCCCCACCAGTTCTCCCCAGGCTCACAGAGGTATGGCCGGAGCCCAGGGGCACAGATGGCCGGTGGCATGGGGAACCCCCCTTATAATCAACAGGTAGGTTCTAGAAAAAAAAAGTGAAGTTTAATCAAGATATAGTTACAAGTTTCACAGGAAAGTATATGTGTTGGTTAAGCTAGTTCCATCTGTGGTAATAATTGTTTTGTGTTTAGAAAAAGTCCTTGTTTAGATATTCCTGTGAAAAGAGATTCAATTTCCTGGGTGTGATTACAGCTGATCAGTTGACTGATGTTGCTCTTTCTTACAGAATGGGAGATAACAAATAGTTCATTGATACTTTCCCCTTGGCCTTAAAATAAGTGTTGTGGTTCCCACTACATAGTCTCTTAGATGGTTCGTTATAATCATCATCATAATTTACAGTGATTCTTGAACAACACCGCTATGACGCATGAATGCGTGCCTGTTTTTGTATTCAAGTCAGTTTTGTATTTATGACCACAACATTTATTTTTTGCCATGTTTTCCAATAATAGATGATTTTGGTCCACTTTCAGTGTTGTGTGTGCAGTGACAATTATTAAAGAAACATGCCTTAGTTTGGAACACGTTATAAACATGACAGTGCTTTGCTTACATAAATTATTTTTCAATCTTCTGATCAGAATGAGGTGGTGTGATAGATAATGGTCTTCTGTTTGTTCATCACACGGAAGTCCCGAGTTTGATTCCCTACATGGGTACAATGTGTGAAGCCCATTTATGGAGTACCACACAAGGATATTGCTAAAACATTGTAAAACCCTTCTCACCCATTCTGAACAGAAAAATAATTTGGGTCGCAAAATTGTAGGAATGCTGGCATGTTTCTTGAATTCCCTTAAAACTATTTCAGTCAGTAGTCCTTTGAGGCTGACTTGACCATTTCAGATGCATCCACACTTTAGCCAACAACCGCAGCAGCAGCCACATCCAGCTAACAACGCAAACAGCCCAGTGCCAGGATACAGTCAGAGCATGCCCTCTTCTCAACAGCAAACTTTCCTATCTCAACAGCTTCAGCCGTCATCACAGCCCCAGCCCCCAGGGCCGTCTCCCCCCTGCCAGCCGGCCAGTCAGTCCTCGCCCCTTCACACCCCCACTACACCCATACAGGCTCTCCAACATCAAACATCACAGATGAAGGGGTCCCCAGTCCACAATAACTCCGAACAGTCACAGCAGGTGAGTTTGGGTGATGCTGGCTTTTGACTAATTTTATGACTTGGTCTTACAGTACATTTATTGAAGTATGAAGGCAAGAGGAGTTTAACTTTAAAGAAAACTGCTGCTTATATAACTTGTCCTTGACAAAGGGAGATGGAATTGAAGCCAGAATTTTATCTTCTCCCCCCCTTGATTTGTTTTTGTTTAGAATACATTAAATATTCTTAAATCTTGGATTGCAAAGTACTTGAGATGTAGCAGTTTACTGACAGGTGTAATGAAAAGATTTGATTGTATAAACTGGCTGTGGTGCCTTTTAACAAGGGTTAAAATATTCAATGGATGCAAAGTGTTTTTATACTACAAAGAAATTGTGACACAATTATATTAAAGAGTGTTACATTTTAGACACTTCGTGTCTAGTGCAGATGAGGTGTTGTGATATGTGTCATATTTTGACCCTAGGTCAGTGATCTATGAATCATACTGTTACAACCCAGGTATGGATAGACAGACAGACATTGCATCCCGTATGACACCCCTGTATTACACCCTTATATCAGTGTCATATTGATACATCCCTGGTGTTGATAGACAAGTTATTCCCCTGGATATTGATATATTACAAACTGATGCACCCAACAGGTATTGTCAGCTGACCAATAATCAAGACATATTTACAGCTTACACTTATTTTGAATGCTGTCAGATGTAGGTTCATGGACAGAAGTCTCAATAGAAATAGGCCTGTGAAGACCCGGGGTAGAATAGGTCTTCAGCAACCCATGCTCGCCATAAAAGGCGACTGCTTGTCATAAGTGGTGACTAACAGGATCGGGTGGTCAGGCTCGCTGACTTGGTTGATGATGCATGTTATCGTATCCCAATTGCATGGATCGATGCTAATGATGTCAATCACTGGATTGACTGGTCCAGACTCGATTACTTACAGACCGCCATTATATAGCTGGAAAATTGCAGAGTGCGGCGTTAAACAACAAACAAACAATAGAAATAAAGTTGTTGTGATGCATCAAGTTAAACTGCAAATTATTGACTTGGTAATGTTTTGTAGTGTGTATGTGTACCCATATAACTCTCAATAATTACTCTCCAGGAAGGCATTAAATAAAATTGTATTTTGTTACCAAAGGCAATTGAAAACAAGCATGGAATCCATTTATTTGAAATGTCACTTCTATACACATGTGAATAAAGTGGGGAAAAATATTACCATTAAAATAACATTTTGACTTCTTTGAGTGTTATTTGTTTGTCTAGCTTTGAAGTTTTTTGGCACTTAAATAACATTTGGTGGATAAGAGGAGCTTCTTAATTAACATTACACAAAGATGTTGGACAAAACAAAATATGCTGTTTTTTTAATTGAACTCAAGATGAGTTGAATTTATAATCTTGGTATAATTGTGTGTGCTTGCAGTGTTTTTATCAGAAACACTATTAAGATGATATACTTGTAGTGCTGAATATTGTAAAGCTGTGTAAATCCCAATACAAACAGTGCACGCAGTTCTGTTGAAAGTAGTTCCGGCAGCATGCTTCTAGCTTGAGAGATCTTTATGTTTCTGCTACACAGAAAGTAGTCCTAACCAAAGGAAAAGTTGATGGTAGATAGAAATACTGAATTCACTCAAAGTTTTAGTTTTAATTTTAAGCAACCGTGATGATTTTGATACTTACATAAACAAATTGATCAGGACATATATTATGTGAAAGTAGTTCCGGCATGTATCACCCAACCGTATGATTGCACTATTTTCATCAAAGGGATCAGTATTCTGTGTAGTTTAGAAGTAGTAAGTAGAGTATTTTAAGCAGACAGTTCAATAATTTGAAAAATCTAAATTATATTTTATTTTAATTTATTTTTTCCCTTTTTTTGGTAAATACAAATTTCAGAGTTGTGAAATTGATGGTATATCACAAGAGATTTTGAAACTTTGTTAGAAGAAGACAGTTATGTTAAAATAAATTTTGAACTTAAGTTGAATTTATTAATTGTTTTGCTTTTATTAGAAGTATAAAACATTTCAAGCTATTTCACCTTTGTCAATCAATATATCAGTATTATCAGTATGTTCCTTTTATACAAGGCGTCGTTTTATATATGGAATTGTTTTAAATGCAGCGATTAAGATTATCATGTGTAATTGTCTCTTAAAGTCAGATGGCAATAGCTGTCATCAATTCACGCATTTGCTGCCTGATCTACTGGTGATTCTGTTCAAAACATACCAATTATAAAATAACTGAAAAGAATTTTAATGCAGTTATCAAAAGAAATCTCATCTGGGTAGCCTAGTGGTTAAGCGTTCGCTCGTCACACCGAAGACCCGGGTTCGATTCCCGACATGGGTACAATGTGTGAAGCCCATTTCTGGTGTCCCCCGCCGTGATATTGCTTGAATATTGCACAAAGCGGCGTTAAACAATACTCACTCACTCACATTTGGTGTTACATGCTCATGGTCTTTGCATTGGGGAAAATAATCAACTCACTGTGTACCACCCACAACACAGCTGTATTTCTCTTTTTAAAAAGCATTTCCAGAAAACAGGATGTTTCAATTGATCACAAGAAATGTAAATTGATCCTTGTTCCAGATCATGCGAGGTTCACTGGCTTTTGTTCATGTTCAGGCAACACAATAATTAGAATACATATTTGGCCTAATGCATAAAATCTAAAAAGTCTAATTTATTGTTGGCAGATTCTAGTTGCTGACGTCACTTAGATGAATCTACTTTCTATCCATTTGCGGCATGTTTGATACTTCAGTCCCAGATGAATTCTGTGGTGAAATAATTAATGTTCTGCAGGAAAATGTCCAAAGTTCTGCGGTTAACACTGCATAGTTCTGCGGTAAAAACAACCATTTCCCTCTCAAAAGTTATTACAAAGTTGATGTCACCGATATTTATTCATGCTTTGATTTAAACATGTTTATGTAGTCATAATACCACAAAAACTTTTAGAAGTGAGAATTTTTTCTGTCAAATTTTGTTTTATGTATGATTCATGTTCTGTATGTTTGAATAACGTGTTAAGTGCAAAATTTGTCAAATAATGAAAATGAGTGTATTGATTTGATCAAGAGGGCTAATTCTGTGAATCTTCTGCAATACAGCGTTTGAAGGTTTCGATTTTAAGTTATCAAGTTTTCATTTACTAATAGTAATGCACACACTGCATATTATTAAAAATGTGTTTTGTGTGACCAATTATTGTGAAAATATAACATTTAAAGGAGGAAAGAATTGCAAGTTGATATGTTGCTTTGCTTCACAATACCAGATTGCCCCAGTAGGAAACAATTCACTTTTTCTGAACAATAGGTTTCTCACCAAAGTGGTAAATGTCTCCGACCAGGGCCCTGTTCCACAAAGCGATGGTAGCGTTAATTAATCGTTACTCTCAGACTTTAACATAGGCAAGCGACAGTTGTTGCGCTATGATCGCTTTGTGTAACAGGGCTCTCGGTCACTCAGCGCTTTCCTCCCTCATAAAGCTGACACTGGAATACTGTTCAAAGTGGCGTCAGTCCCAACTCACTTGATCTTAACAATAGTTACGTCCCTTAGTCATTGCAGGATGCAATATCTTTAAGTGGTATTTTAGAAGCTGTTGGTACAAATCTCATTTTTGTCCTGGTAATTATCATTAGCACCACACAAGTGAAATACTTCTATTAGAATATACTATTAGAATATATCCCCACTACCCATTGCTGGTGTTTAAGGGCAACTAAGTTAGATCAGGTGTGATCACGTTTCATCATGCGCTGGTGTTCTGGATTGTTGCTCACTTGTTTTTGTCAATGGTAACATAGGTTTGCCTGGGATAGATTTGATATTTTAAACCGACTATGCTTGTCGTAACAGGCGACTAACAAGATCGGGTGGTCAGGCTTGCTAACATGGTTGATGCTTGTCATCGTATCCCAATTGTGTGGATCGAGGTTCATGATGTGAAGCACTGGATTGTGTGGTCCAGACTCACTTATTCACAGAACGCTGTTATAGCTGGAATATTGCTGAGTGCAGCGTTAAACTCCAAACACACAAACAAACAAAATTATATTTTAGACCTCTATGGCTCTATGGTAGAGATATATTTAGTTTAGACTTGTCAAATGAGTACATTTTTTGTTCTCTGTTTCAGGGTATAACAGAAAACAACAGAACGAGTCAAAACAAGAGGTCAGAAAGCGAAGAGGAGTCAAAAGGGGTAGGTCATAAAACACTATGTGCTCACAAACCTGTACTCTTGCCTGGTTGAAAACAGTTCCCGTTAACTCGTTGTAGGTTCAACATTGGTTGAATGCATGTAATCATACACCAACAGCTAGGGCTGGCTAAACATTTACGATTATCGATATGAAATTGTTATCGATAACAACTTGCATAAATTATTGTGATGAAATAAAGTTGAGATTTACCGACATAGACTTGTTATTGTCAATCATGTCAATTGTCGAAGACGGAAAGCAGTTGTCAACAAAGTAATCCATGTATAAATGTGTCACTGCTCACCAGTAGGGTGGAAGATGTTGATTTCTTTCTGGACTTTCTTGCATATTTGCTTAAATTACTTAGATAATTGATCGATATTTAGTTAGCGATTATCAATCTCTGATATATATCGATAGCCAGCCCTAACTACAGCAGTGAATGATGCTCTTGTTTGATCTGTGCGGCCTGAATAGCGCTAACTCGTCAGTTCAGAACATCAAACAAATTTCAACCCTGTTGGACTAGAGTGTGAACTGTCATGAGTAACCTTGTCAAACTAATGGTGAAGCCTGTGACATATGTAATAGAACTAAGTAGGGGTGACCATTGGTCTGGAAATCAAAATCGAGGTGACTATTGATATTGCAAGCAACTATTGCGATAAATATGGATAGTTTTCAGTGTATCATATTAGATGGATTTTAGAGTTGAATTTAACCTTGGAATTGAAGTTTCCTTTGAATGTGATAACCATAACAACAAATAAAAAGTTTGAGATATGACTGATTTGTTTATTCTTACCCTAATAATTTAAGAAAAAGAAACTTCCACATTACCATATGTAAATTACTACCACTCATGATCAAAAGAAAAACAAATTTGAACAGCATTTGACTCAATCGCATGATACGGTAAATACAGTCGAAACTCGATATTTCTAACTGAAATCGATACTATTGTTGTAAGAGGTATCTAAATGTTTTTGGTTGTCAAGTTGGTTGATCGGGTGACACCATACCCTGACAAGGTTGGACATTCGTAATATATCAATAACTGGATTGTGTGGTCCAGACATTCATGACACTGTTATATTGCTGTAGTACTACTTATTACTCGTTTACTGTCAGGCCACTGTAATATTGACAAAAGACTACTTATTACTCGTTTACTGTCAGGCCACTGTAATATTGACAAAAGACTACTTATTACTCGTTTACTGTCAGGCCACTGTAATATTGACAAAATACTACTTATTACTCGTATACTGTCAGGCCACTGTAATATTGACAAAAGACTACTTATTACTCGTTTACTGTCAGGCCACTGTAATATTGACAAAATACTACTTATTACTCGTATACTGTCAGGCCACTGTAATATTGACAAAATACTACTTATTACTCGTATACTGTCAGGCCGCTGTAATATTGACAAAATACTTCTTATTACACGTTTACTGTGTCAGGCCACTGTAATATTGCTGAAATACTACTTACTATGGTGTTGATTAAGACATTTAATAGGTTGGGGATATCGATGACTTCGTCTTCTAATTTTGAGTTGCTTGTATACAATATGCATGAAACATAAAACCCTCGAAGTATAACAACACTGTAGGTAATTACCCAGTGTGACCTTTTGAGCTGCCGTGCCTGTATTTCCTTACAGATCTATATTTACTGATTGAGTGCAGGTATCGCATACATGAACAGTGAATAATGCACAAAGGCTTGTTAAATATAACATAGTCCCATTGTTGCGAGCTTATGCAACATGTGAATCTTGGGGTGGCAAATAAACAAATGCCTATATTTGGAGTCGCCTCAAACAGAATTTCAGCTTGAATTATTAGCTATTTAATGTCTACTCTTTGGTTTAATATAGGTCTTCAGCAACGCATGCTTGCCGTAAGAGGCGACTAACGGGATCAGGTGGTCAGGCTCACTGACTTGGTTGACACATGTCATCGTATCCCAATTGCGTGGAACGATGCTCATGAGGTCAATCACTGGAGTGTCTGGTCCAGACTCGATTATTTACAGACTGCTGCCATATACCTGGGATATTGCTGAGTGCGGCGTTAAACAACAAACCAACCATTAAACATGGGAATAAATATATGTTGGTTACCCTAAGAAAAATGTAAATACCAAATGGTAATGATAACATTTGAAAGTACTCAATGACTCAAGATTATCTGGAGCACTGGTATTTGTTTGGTATTTGTTGAAAATGTTGAATGAAATATTTGAGTGATTTTGAAAATCAGAAAAAACTTTTCTTTTGATATCAATGTTAATCAGTACAACAACAGTGCACATTACTAATGAAACATCAGACCTTCCTTCTCGGTCAGACCCCAGTTCAAACAGACCCCAGTTAGATCCTGTTTAATGTTCAGGGCAGCACGAGATTGAATGTCAAATTTAAAAAAGAGTAGCCAAAGTTCTTCATGTCTGAAATGTGAATTGACATTAAATTAATTAAAGACGGTACCTCCTCGACTGTGAATCAAAATCAATGATGATTTGTCCTCGTACACAGAAAGATACTTTGACAATTGACTAACTCGTTTGCAGTGTTTATCTGATACGTGATTACTCGGGGGAAGCCGGAGTAACGGGACATGGGTCACAAATGTTTCCCTCTTCAAATAGTAATATCTCTGGAATAAGACCGAAACAATCTGAAGCTGAAGATAACAACTGCAGGTTCTGAACATTTTGAATCCTTCGCAAGCATAAAATATATATTTTGCACCAAAAGTGAATATTTTGGTTGAGTCTGATATCCTGCTCAGGCATTGATCTGGTCATTTATTGCAGGGGAGGGGGCGGTGAGATTGGTCTTAGGACTGTCTAATATTTTGGCCTACCCACCTGACTCCGCCCCCTCCCCATCCCCGCCTTTATGCTGTGTCTCTTTTTCATCTTGCTCACACTCGCACACATGCACACACGAACACTCTCACACACACTTAGTAGTGTTGGGTATGTGTGTTGGTGTCATGATCAAGAATAAGTCAATCTTTGGGTGTTTCAGGTAACCTGACCTTTGTTTCATGTGTGACCCAAATATTTTGTCACAGCTGTTAACAGTTGGATTTTTCTGCATATTATTGTAGCTGTAGCTATTTTGACCTAAAACTGCTAGTAACATCAGTCATTAACAATATTAAATTATAAATAGAACCCCAACTACCGACCCATTTTTTTTTTTTGTTTCCTGAAACAAGTATGTTGTTGTTTGGTCTGATACAAAGGCATATATTGTTGGTAGGCTTGAAATTCACACAAGTTTCAGCAGTTTTCTTTGGTGATTTTTTTATAAACAAATGCGGAAGACATATTCATTATTTTTTTCAAAGCTTTCTTCTGTGTATTGGCTGACCTGGAAAAAAAGTATCTTTTAGACGTTTTGAATGACAAAGTGATCTGACTGGAAACCCTGACCACTACACAACATGCTGCTGTACAGTAATAACTATCTCTGCAGGATGGCCATTACTTATAATATATAATTACTACCTTCGATAGGGATACTGACAATCTCTGCAGGATGGCCATTAATTATAATATATATTTACTACCTTTGATAGGGATACTGACAATCTCTGCAGTATGGCCATTAATTATGATATATAATTACTACCTTTGATAGGGATACTGACAATCTCTGCAGGATGGCCATTAATTATAATATATATTTACTACCTTCGATAGGGATACTGACAATCTCTGCAGGATGGCCATTACTTATAATATATATTTACTACCTTCGATAGGGATACTGACAATCTCTGCAGGATGGCCATTATTATAATGTATATTTACTACCTTTGATAGGGATACTGACAATCTCTGCAGAATGGCCATTATTATAATGTATATTTACTACCTTTGATAGGGATACTGACAATCTCTGCAGGATGGCCATTACTTATAATATATATTTGCTACCTTCGATAGGGTTACTGACAACCTCTGCAGTATGGCCATTAATTATTATGTATATTTACTACCTTCGATAGGGATACTGACAATCTGCAAGATGGCCATTAATTATAATGTATATTTACTACCTTCGATAGGGATACCGACAATCTCTGCAGGATGGCCATTTATTGTAATGTATATTTCTTACCTTTGATAGGGATACTGAATTACTACTATTATTATTATTATTATTATTATTATTATTATTATTATTATTAAAAAAGTAGAGTAATGCAGATAAATATGGATATCTTTGTGCATTGAATATGTCATGGAAAATTTAGAAAAAATGAAATAATGTATTTAACTTCAATCAACTTCAATCAACTTTTGTCATTAGTTGCCAAGATAGTTCTTGTTTTATATAAGTTATACTGATGCAAAGTAATTACCCTGAAGAAGACAACATGGGGGTCCATCTTCATCATAGTACTTTACATTCTTCTCTTCTCTTTTTATGATGTATGAATAATTTTGTTGTAATTCTAGAGATGTAAGGCAGCACAAGTTTCATAAAACTGTTTGGAACATTGGGTTGACAATATCTTACCCGTGACTGTCTTGGTTTAGATTTATGTTCTTGTTGGCCCTTTGTAGATGTCATTTGCCTGATGACATACACTATATTATATCTGTCACACGTGTTGTAACAAGTGAAATTACAGATGCATGGTGTAGTAAGGTAAAGGTTACTGTATTCTCAGAGATACCCTATATAGTAGACTGTGCAGATCTACCAATTTCAGATTTCACTGAAACAAGAAATCAGAGAAAAGATAAACCTTTTAAAAGTGTGGAATCATTTTATGATAAATAGAGAGCTGTTAGTCTTGCCAACTTGTTACTCAAATATGACCAAATATGTTTTTGTCAAATATTGTAGAAATAAAATGGTCACTTGTCAACTGGCAAGCAAACTGTTTAAGCAAACATCTTCTGAATTTTACAGGCACAGTATATACTACTAAACAAAAAAGTTTAAGAACACTCCATTATTGAG